ACTATATTCGGCAAACGATGCCTCTTAAAGCAACAGTGTAATCAAATCACATTTTTGAAAGATCAATATGATAGCAGCATGGAGCATGGGCCCATCTGACAGCACCTGTCCCACCCTGCAATGCTTTTTTATTTTCTTCCTTGTCTGCCTTGTTAGATTACGAACTTCTTACCTGGCACACATATTGCTAACTCTTAAAAACATTTGTGAATAATTCCTGAAAAACAGGGAAACCTGCAGTGGGGGTGGTATTTGGTATTGGGGCTGGGTCTTAAAGGATGAATAACATTTTGATAGGCAGAAAAATGGAAGAAAAAGTACCTTGTGTGAGGAAACAGGTAAGAAACAACCACAGAACGTTTGGGGGAACAGCAGATTGTCCAGGCTGGTTGGGGAAAGGATGCGAGGTGTATGGGCTCAAAGACAATTTGGAGGTAGAACATGGGGGATGCTGATGCTATTCTGAGTTTGTGAGATCTCACCCAGGCCACATTTATTAAGCTGGAGGACAAAACAGATGAGCAGCTATGCACGTACCCACATATACCCATGATACTGGTGTCGAATAGTTAAATTTACTGAATTCATATCACAAAATTGTTTTTATCTCCACATCAGGTTTCTTCCCTCCACTTTTTCATTTTTCAATGTCAAACGGAAGGCAGATTTGTCAGTATCAGTAGCCTGGGAAAACATCATATCAGTGCGGTGGGCACATTTTTAGTTTTCATTTATTTTCATCTTTACCAACTCCCTGAATTCATTGTCTGACATATTTATTTTTCTAAGCTCTGGGCCTGTGGACCCAGGTTTATAGATGTAGCTTATAGATGCAATATTCAAATTCATTTATATGCAAACATACGTCTCAGTGGATTTTGCTACATTGCTGTTAATCTTGAATTTTGTGAGGTTACTTAGACATCTGACAACACATTATTTTAAATATGTGCCAACATTTTTCAACACTTGATTGCTGATCCTGATTAATGTAAGTAATCAACTTCAAATTAGAAATTAGTTATGACAGCCACTCTTAATACAGATCAACACTGTCTAATAGGAATATAATGTGAGCCACAAATATAATTTAAAATTTTCACATTTTAAAAGGTAAAAGAAACAGAAGTTATTTAAACAATATACTTTATTTAACCCATTATATCTAAAATATTATCATTGCACCGTGTAATGCGATACATCTCACTTTGGACTAGCCCCAGTACCAGTGAGGAACATAAGGTTAGACACTATTATAATGGATAGTGCAAAAATAGAAGATGTAGTTTTCAGCTCCTTAGAATAACACCATTAGCTCAAAGAATGGTTAGAACGGTTTACATCCTCACTGCTCATCCAAGCAGTAATAGTGTAAAGTTCTCTCTCACTTGGGATTTGGGGGGGGAGACCTAAGAGACCATCTTGTCCCAGACTTTTGTATTATAGTCAAGGAAGCTGAGACCCACGGAGGCGGGAGGGGGGGAGACCTGGAGAGCTGACTCACTCTGCTTCTCGCCGCCTCATTCAGTCTCACTGCTGACAGGTGGAGATGGAGGCTCAGCTCCCTGCCACCGGCGGACACACCCCGGAAGAGGGCTGAGAACATCAGCTCCCTGCTCAGCCCCACCGACATCACCCTGCCAGAGGGGAAGGGGTGGAGGGAATCTGCCACTCTGGAATAGATTAGCTCCCTGTTCTGTCCTGTTGTCCAGTTGCAGGAGGGGACATCAAACAATGTCATCTGCTTCCACAGGGCAGGGTATAGAGTGGTGGAAACTCGCACTGGGGGCAGAAAGAAGAGCAGAGGTCTGTCCCAAGTAGGGTGCCTATTGCCAAAGAGGTTTTCTGTTGCTAAACCACTCTTCTCCTGGGTATTTACCTAGGGAAAATGTGTTTTCTTTGGGCACTTTTTTTGAGTTTGTGCCTGTTGGCAATTCTAACCTGGAAATTTCTGCAGTGTCCTGTTCAGAATGTGTGGGAGATGGTAAGAAAACTCAGGGGAATCCCCTTGTGTCATTCCTCACATCCTGAGGTTGCAGGCTCTCTGCTTCTTCCCGCCGTCAAGTGTCCTCCCTTGCTCGCTCATTGTGTTATGTCCAGGGTTATTTCAGTTGTCAGAGGAATGCCTGGGAGGAATGGGGCTGCTCTTGCTTGGCTGGAGCCAGAAATCTCCGAAGTACTGCATTGAAGCAACACTTTCTAATGCTCATCTTATTTTGTTAACCTTTTTCCTATGGTAGCACACATACTTCTTGAAACTTATTTCTCCCTCAGCATTGATTACTGCACATTATGGATTTCCTCCTATCTTCTGGTCACTTCTAAGTTTAGTTTCTTCTGGCTCGGTAGCTTTCTAAGTGCTTGTGTTCCCCGGGACTCTATCCTAGCCAAGTCTTTTGATCTCACCTCCTCTTTTCTCCCTCCACAGTCTTATCACCAGCTATGTGCTGAAAACACAAATCTTTTTCTCCTGTCCCTAATCCCAGTCTAGTTCCCATCGGAAATGTCCACCTGTCTATCTTGGCACCTGTTACCTGAAATGGAACTTAGTACCCTCATGTGCACGTGAAAATAGATGTTCTCCCTAAATGGCTCTTCTTTCTGCCTTATTGAACTTGGTTAATGACCCCCTAACCTACTCCGGGATCCCACTCAGAAACGTATCATTTCTGTTAAATTTCTTTATCTTCCAAACTGCAACTTATCACCAAATTCTGGCCATTTCTCTACTAAATAGTTTTCAAACGCATTCCTTCTGGCAATGCCTAGAGCATTTACTCAAAATAATTTTTCGAATAGTCTTTGAATTCCTCTACCTGCCTCTTTTCAGTGCCTCTTCCAGAGCCTCCAGAGTGAGCTCTTTTTAATGCAAATATGTTCAAATCTGCATCAGTCCTTTACTAATTCCCCATTGCCTCTAGAGGATGAATTCTAAACTCTGATTTGGGAGGCTCGTCTTCCAGTTTGCTCCATCCATTTCTGGAAACGCACTGTTATCCCTTAGACCACACACTCTGTCCAGACCTTTTTTCACATTACTCTGTTCACCTAAAAAGGTCATCCTCTCCTTCCCCCACCCACACCAACTCCACCAAACCAACTCCTACGAGGCATGAAAGATCCCAGCCCTGTGTTCTCTCCCAGGCCGTGCCCCGCCTAAGGTGCTTCTCTTCCCTGTTTCAAACACCCTCCACCCCCAGGCATGTTGTAATTGTTGATTTACTTCTTAACCTCTCATTTAGAGTGGAGAGAGGCTCTGAGGAAGCATTATTTTCCACGTGAGTATAATCTAGAGAACAGAAAAATCAGCTACTCGTCCTTCGACTAGCCATCTTGGGAGCAAGTACACCATCGTGGCTAAGAGCACTGACTCTGGAGCAGAACTCTTGGCTTCAAAAACGGGCTCTGCCACCAATTGGTTTGTGACCTTTATCAGTGTTGCCCTCTGCACAATGGGCCAAACGGTATCCACTTCATTGAGTTGTTGTGAGGATTAAATAATGTAATGTAGAAGAACACTGGCACACGGAAAGATTTGATAAGCATTTGCTCCGATGTAACGTAGAAACACTGGCATGTAGATGGACTATATAAATGTTTGCTGTGATATTTCTTGTTATGTATTACTGCAACATTAAGAACATGTCCTCCCTTTTTTAAAGGGTAGTCTTTGCCACTTAGTCCCTTGCTCATCTACAAGAAGCAACAATGAAAGCAATACATTTTTCAAGGAGAAAAATAGACGAGATGGAATAGTTTTCTTTCAGAAATGGAATAACTCCACTAAGAACTTTAGCTAAGAATTATTTTTTTAAAAATGGAATACATAGAAAGCAATATGGTAAGACCACTTAGGTATTTTCTAGTGGTTAAGAATGATTGCTTTGAAAGTGAAAAAGGAAAATCTTAAATAACTGACTGTTTAAAATGGACCATTGAATGGATTCTTAAAAAGCTAATGCAATACATTTTTCGAGGAGATTTCTCCTGGAAAATATCTGAGATAGAGTATTTTTCTTTTAGAAATGGAATAGCCCCACTAGAAACTTTAGCTAAGAACTACTTTAAAAAAAAATAGAATACACAAAAAGCAATATGATAAGACTACTTAGTTATTTTCTAGTAGTTGAAAATAATTGCTTTGAAAGTGGAAAAGGAAAATCTTAAATAATTGTTTAAAATGAGCCACTGAATGGATTTTCTAAGCTCAAAACTTTGTACTATTATAAAATAGATGTTTATGATTCCTTCTCAACAGTGTGTGTTCCCTGAAAATCATGCTATGTGAAACCATTTTTTAAAACACATAAATTGTTCAATGTTTGTTCAGTAATTGATGGGGGGGCGGGGCCCCAATTGAGAGCCTTCTTCCTCTTCCCCAAAGGAAAAAACAAACAAAGAAAAAACATCCAAAAACAAGGAAATGCATAGCTATGTAGTCTCTCACTCAAAAGTTATGTTCAAACAGAAAATTAATCTTTTTCAAAATTTGCCTTAAGGAGTACTTTCTCAAATTTCAAATCCCAGCCATTTCTCCCCTTGCTTTTTATCCCCCTATATCCAGTATTTCTTGAGGGAAGACTTTTGAGGCAGCCAAAGGCGGAGGTTTGCTTTTCATCAGTACCTCCCAGACAGCCACAGAGCGAGCCTCTCTTTAAAGACCTCTGGAGTTCTTCCGGATGTCGGTCCAGAAAAGATCGTGGATACAAACCAGCTCTGCACTGCAGTGATCCCTTACTACCCTCTCCCCACTATGGCTGATTTCAAGAGGGCAGGAAAGTCCACGAGTGAAGTTCTTATTAAAAACCTTCTCCATATGTGGTTGAAATTTTAATGCCCTATGTAATTTTTTTTTTTTTTTTTTTTTTTGTCCATTGGCGGGGAAAATGATCACAGCTGATTGCATGCAGGAAAAGTTTTATTAAGTCAAGGAACTATTATACTTTTTAAAAACTTGCTATATAGAATATCCAAACATTTTTAAATGACAGGAAACCGGCACATCTTAAGTCAGTGAGTTCCACTTTCATAATTTTCTCTGCCCCCACCCTCAATGCTCAGCTATAGAATATTCATTTATTTATCTTGTTTAGTGTATCTGCCTCACAGTCATCTAGCAAAGCTTTTGCTGCAAAAACACATTTCTTAACAATTAAGAACACAATGGACAGGTTTGATTGGACATTTACATTGAAATGTTTAAAAATAACACATGATAGTAGGGTTACAAGAAGGGCAGTGGCATCTTTCAATTCATTTTGCTAGTTCACTCTCTTTTTCAAATATTAATCTCTGAAGTCTGTCAAGACTTATTCTCCTTTCTCTCCCCCTCCTCCATTATCAACGTTGTGATTATTTGAATTCTCTTGCCTGGGAAAAAGAAAAATGATTAACTGACAAGGGACATTTATGGACGTCTAGCTGTTACAACCCAAACCACAGCACAACCATGTACAGGTGACACACTACATTGACACTGGTCCACGTTCTCTACATACTGTCGGAGAAGAAGGTAGGGCTCCTAACTACGATCCAGCGCTCACATGATGATGCACTTGCCCAGCAGCTTCTCGGCGATCTTGGGCACCTGGGATTTCTTCTGGAGAGGCTGGGGGTTGGTGGCTGGCTTCTTCGCGTGGTTCAGCAGCACCTGAAACAGCTCCTGCACGTTGACATCCGTCTTGGCGGAGGTCTCCATGAAGGCGCAATTCCACTCCAAGGCGTAGGCAGCGCCATCCCTCGAGGTCAGCTCCCGGCGGCGGCTGTCGTCGCATTTGTTGCCCACCAGCACGATAGGGTACTTCCGCACGTTTCTACCTTTGATCTCGCGGATCAGCTCATAGAAGGGCTTCAGCTCCTCCAGGGTCTGCTTCTTGGTGACCGAGTAGACCAGGACGAAGGCATGGCCCCTGGCGATGGCGAGGCGCTGCAAGCCCCGGTAGCGGTGACCGCCAGCCGTGTCGGTGACGTGGAGCGTGCCGGTGCCGCGACTGCTGCCGGGCATCTGGTGGTAGGTATCTTCCACAGTTGGCACATACTTTTCACGGAAGTTGCCGCGCACCCATCTCTTCACCAGAGCGCTCTTGCCGACGCCCGCGGAGCCAAGGATCACCACGCAGAAATCTTTGTTTTTCCTCTGGGGCATGACGGTGCGGATGATCAGCAGGGTGGGCAGGGGTCTCAGCCTCTGCATCAGCTTTTCCTTGAGGCCAAAACAAGAATTGCCCATCGTCGGGGATTGGCACGAGGACGCGTGCACAACTTCTCTGGCGCTGAGCCTGAAGTCGGCGAAGCCTAGAGAGGAAGGAAGGAGAGTGAGAGATGAGACTTTTCACCTGGGATGCCACCGCATCCGCCTGGACAGCTTCTGCCTGGGGACGCTGGGCAGGGTCTCTCAGCTCGCTCCCCGACACATCCTCCTTCCTCTGAGGCAGAGCCTGGCTCAGGGCACCCAGGCACCAACGAAAACTGGTACCGCGGGGAGGCTCACTGGGCACCTCTAACAAGGACGCTTTACGCGGTGGCTGTACACCGTTATTTTCTTTCACAACACACCACTCCGCTCTGATTGCAGAAGAAGCTGTAAAAACGGACAGATTGAGCAAACCTTTCATCCCTGAATAAGCCCTTGTTGTGCTCTTTTTTCGGGTATTAAAAATTATCAGCGTCCCTGATACTTTTCGATCACCGCGGCCAAGGGTTCGCTGCTGCGGACTCCGCCTTCCGGGGGTAGTCTTGGGGGTGCGAGGGGCAGCCAGGGAACCCACTGGAGCCAGGATGCTTGGTTCGTGGCGCCACGAGATACCGACTGCCCGCGGCAACGGTCTCCGTGTCATCCAGGGAGGGTACCCGCCAGTTCCCACCCGCAACAACCCAGGGTGGTTTGCCCGCTACACCCGGCACTTGAGTGCCCGCAAAAAGGGTAACCGAGTGCGCTAGTGGGCGATTCGCTCCTTGCCCGGGCGGCGCTGGCTCTGTCTGCGGACGCGGCACCAATCGCTTACCTGAAGCGGCAACCGGAGCGCAGCGAGGAACAACCAGCGCACTCGGAGGTTCCGAGAGAAATGCTCCAACTGTTGGACTCTGTTAAGAGCTCTGGAACCAGGAGGCGCAGGCTGGGAGACTCCACTTGCACGATACACAGAGGGGGGGACCGGCCTTGAGGGGCCGGCCGAGCACAGATGCATGCCCACACCTCCTCGCGCTTTCCTCCCGGCGTCCCCCCCACCGAGAGTGCCTGTACCCACAGCCCGGGGCTGGGTGGAGGGAGGGGGGACCCTGGATTTACAGGCAGTGGCCACCGTGCGTTTAGCCATGCTAAGATTTCTGTTTTAAGAGACTGCAGGACCGTCCTTCTGGTTGGACCTCCTGTGGTTTAGGCAGGTTCTATGTAAGAGGGTTGAGGGATGCCCTCTAAACCCAGGGACATTAAGCAGCTATCACATTCAGCACTACTCTTTGTAAATGTCTCATTTGATCATCACAAAAACCTTATTTAAAAAATCAGGGCAGGAATGTGCACAGCCTCTAGGTGGCAAGAGTGGCTCCTGGCAGCCAGCAAGAAAGCCTGGACCTTACCGCGGTGTGGCTCAGTGGACTGAGCATCATCCCGTGGGCTGGGTTAGATTCCGGTTAGGGCACATGCTGGGGTTTCAGGCTCGATCCCCAGTGGAGGGCGTGCAAGAGGCAGCTATCAACGTTCGCTCTCACATTGATGCTTCTGTCTCTCTGTCCTTTCCTCTCTCTCATAAAACAAAACAAAACAAAACAAAACAAAACAAAACAAAACAAAACAAAAAAAAACAAAAACAAACCCATATTTTAAAAAAAGAAAAGAAAAGAAAGCATGGACCTCAAGCCCACAGCTGCTAGCAACTGTACTTTGCCAACAACCTGAATGAACCTGAAAGCAAATTCTACTCAAGAAAATGTGTTAAGACCACAGACCCACCAACACTTTGATTTTAGCCTTGATTGAGCAGAGGACCCAGTAGATCCCATAGACTTCTATGCTATAGAACTGTGGGGTCTGTAATTCCGGGGTGTTGTTTAAGCCAGGAAATTTATGATAATTTGTTACACAGCAAAAGAAAACTAATGCAGCAGGTAAAATTACTTATTCAAGGTTGCAGAGTTCATAAATGATGGACATAGGCCCCAAATAGTTCTTCTAATGCAATCTTCTTTTTCTGTCATTAAGCTGATACTCTTATTTCTTACTCATTAGTGGACATTTTTTTCATACCTTTTTTTCTTACTGAAAAGCACATTTATGTTGAATATAGATCAAAAGCACATGCTTTAGAGGCACTCCTCACCTATGAAAAACAAAATGAAAGAAAACAAAACAACAACAAAAACAAAACTCTAGGTTTAGAATATGTGTGTGTCGTTTCCCTTTTCTTTCTTTTGAATGCAACTTAATATGCCTTTGAACTGTGGGATCTTGAGAAATTGCTGTTTTGTAGAAGGGGATACTTAGGAGAAAGAGTTGTGGGGAGGATTTAAGGAGCTATTGTCTGAAGCACTATTAGAAGGCATACTTAATGCAATGAGTAATCCATAAATGACAGCTATCAACCTTCATATAGTAATGCTGAAGTCTGGGTACACATAATCCTGTAGTGTTGGAGCATTTTAACAATGGCGTTTTGAAAGTAGTCATGAACTCTTTGTTTCATTCAAAAGAGAGCAGATGTCAGTCTGGAAAAGATAGCTGGTTCAGGGAGAAATAAGTTGGGGGCAGAAGAACTTGGGGGCAGGGAGGAAGTAGGGTGTGAGTTCCAAGCAACAATGAAATTATTTCTCATTCCTCCTAAATCACAAGATTTTGTTTACTTATTGAAATTAGAGCAACTAATTTCTTTAAATTCTAGAAAATTCTTTAGGAATGAGAAAGACTAGAAAAAAGGCGCCTGAAAACACTGATATGGAAGATAAATGAAAGTGCTTTTGGAGGCAACACACACACACACACACACACACACACACACACACACACAGGCACACAAAATATATGCCTCAAAGTTAAAGTCTTTAAGTGCCAAAGAGGTCAAATTAAAATATTATTAAATAGAATTCACAGGGAATGATAAAAATATGAAACCATAGCTTTTGCACCCAAAATGAGTCTTATACCTCAAAGGCTATAAAATATTTTATCTTAAGAAAAGACCTATCCCAGAGAACCAGCACTACACTGGGCCAGAAGATTCAACGGAATGTGTCAGAACAGAGTTCTGGAGTAAATACTAGCTAGTTAAGATCCACTGTTTGGAGATATATCAGGGAGAAAGATAATTAATAGAAACACTGAGATGAATCAGATGTTGGAATTATCTGAGAAGAATTTTTAAAGCTGCCATTATAAGAATACTTCAACAAGCACTTAAAATTTTTTGAAACAAATAAAAATATAGAAATTTCAGCAAATAAAATGTATTAAAAGGTTTTAAATAAAAATTATAAAACAGAAAAATGCAATAATACAACTTTTTAAAACTTCCTAAATGCATTCAAGAGTAGAAGGGAGATAACAGAGGATAGAATCAGTAAACTGAGGATACTCCATGTAAACAGCAGAAAGACAAAAGGCTGGGGTGAGGTGGGGGGAATAAACAGTCTCAAGGACATGTGGCATGTTCCTATGTTTGTATCATTAGAGTCCCAGAAGAAAAGGAGAAAGAAAGTGGGTTTGAGTATTGGAAGAAATGATCAATAAAAACTTCCTAAATTTGGTAAAAGACAAAGTACAGTTCTAAGAATCTGAGCAACCCCACCAGAATAATTCCAGGGAAATCAATTCCAAAACACATACAATAGCCTCCCCTTATTTGTGGGGGTTGTATTCCAAGACCTAAAACTGCTAATACCACCAAACCTTTTCTATACTATGTTTGTTTTTTTTATACACACATACCTATGTTTAATTTATAAATTAGGCAATTTCACAGATTTGTTCTTACTGTAGATTTTAGCAACCTCAGCATATGGTTATTTTCTTTCGTTATTAAGTGGAGAACTTTCACCTTTTTACTTAAATTAAGCATTTCACAGCTTCTCTTTGGCATATCCAAATTGCCAACATTACTACTCTTGGGCTTTCGGGCCATTATTGAATAAAATAAGGGTGACTTAAACACAAGCCCTGCAATACCACAATAGTCAATCTGATAACCAAGATGGCTACTGATTAACGGGTGGGTAATATGTGTAGCATGGATATGCTGGACAAAGTGATGATTCATGTCCCAGATGGGATACACCAGGGTGGTGGGAGAGTTCATGACACTACTCAGAATAGCATGCAATATAAAACTTATGAATTATTTATTTGTGGAATTTTTCATTTAATATTTTTGGATAGTGGTTGACCATAAGTAACTGAAACCTTAGACAGTGAAACTGCAAATAAGGAGAAACTACTGTAATTGAATTCTGAAAATTGAACACATACACAAAAAAACTTTTGAAAGCAGCTAGGAAAAAAACAGCATATTTTACCTATAGAAGAACACTAATTCTGATGACAGCAGATATCTCATTTGAAACCATAGACACCAGAGGAAATGGCATAACATTTTTCAAGTGCTGAAAGAAAAACACCATCAACTCTAAATTCTATATCCGCCCCCGCAAAAGTCTTCAAGAACAGTGAGGAAATAGTGATATGTTCAGATAAAGAAAAACTAAGAGAATTTGTTACTAATGAACCTATTCTTAATGAATGGCAAAGGGAGGTTTTTTTAAACAGAAAGGAAAAAAAGTAACAGGACAACTTAGAATTTCAGAAAGGAAAGTAGAATATCAAAATGTGTAAAAAAACAGGGGTAAAGCCCCTGGCTGGTTTGGCTCAGCAGTTAGAGCGTCAGCCTGTGGTCCAGAGAGACCCGGGTTCGGTTCCTGCTAAGGGCATGTATCTCGGTTGCAGTTTGTCCCCGGCCCAGGTTGGGTCATGTGAGTGGCAGCCACTTGATGTGTCTGTCTCATATCGATGCTTCTCTCTCTCTTTCTCCCTCTCTCCCTCCTGCTCTATCTGAAGATAAATGCAAAAATGTCCTTGGGTGGGGATAAAAATGTCCTCGGGTGAGGATAAAAAACAAACAAAAAACAAATGGGTAAATATGACAGATCATCTTTCTTTTTTGTGAAGTTTATAATCATAATTGATGACTAAAATAAAAAATCATGACATTTGATACTCAAGGCAATATTAGAAATTGGGGAAGACAAAGAGCCTGGAATAGAGGTAAAGTTTCCATACTTCAGTCAAAGTGGTAAAATATTAAAACTAATATAATAGTCTGTGATAAGTCACACATGCATATTGTAACATCCAGGGGAACAACTTATTATACAGAGATACATTCAAGCACACTAAAAATAAATTAATATGGAATCTTAAAAAAATGTTCTAGTAACACATAGAAAGGTGAGAAAAGAGAAACAGAGGAAAACCAGAAAAATAATAAAATTGCATACTTAACCTCAAATATGTAAAACATTATCCAAATGTAAATTGGTGTAAATAAAAAGGCAGAGTGGTAGAATGAATAAAAATAAAACAAAACAAAACAAAAAGAAACACAAGCCAACTATATGGTATTTAAAGTGAGAAGAAACTCACTTTACATTCAATGACACGGATAGATTGAAAGAAAAAGGATGTTTTTATATAGTAACACAGAATATGTGAAAACCAAAATTAAAAACACAAAATTATTTATAATCACTATAAAGAAAAGAAAATATTTTGTATATGCTTAATAAAACACAGGAAGGATCTGAATGCTGAAAATTACAAAATTCTAATAAAAGAAATAAAAGAACTAAATACAAGATGAAACATATGTTCATGGGTTAGAAGATACAACTTAGTAAAGATGTCAATTCTCTCCAAATTGATCTATAGGTTTAATGTAATTCTTGTCAAAATCCCAGCAAGAGATTTTGTGAGCATAGATAAGCTTTTCCTAAAATTTATATGGAAAAGTGTAACAGAGTAGCTAAAACACACTTGAAAAAGAAGAATAAGTGAAAGGAATC